AAAACACACTCATGGCTCATCTAAAGGATACCTTGTCCGATAATGACATATGCCCCACGTGACCTCTAAAGGATACCTCATCCGATAATGACTTCTCTAACTATATTGCCACTCATGGCTCATCTAATCCTTCTGCTCCACCCGATCATGATAGGTTAGCTACCCATCGCCACTGAGTCCAACGCACCAAAAGGTGAATGCTACCATAATAAATGTAGTCTTACATCATACCTGGTCTCCTTTGACTTACCATTCCCTGTTTCCAGTTACGTTGTGACCTACTCACAACCTTGCAAAATGACCCACCTTGGCCTAAGTTATCTAAACAAATAAGTGAATGTCGCAGCTACCCTACAGTCTGTCTGTATCTCCTACACTATCTAGTCGTTGTGAGTCCTACGGCTCCCCCGTAGTCTTACAACACTTCCATACCAATTTACCCTTAGTGAATGCTACAGCTCCCCCTTAGTCTTACAAAACTTTCGTCCTAACACAACCATGGAAAAAAACCTTACCTCGGACCTATTTATTTGAAAGGCATACAGAGTCGAGCATCCACTCCACCGAACACCTGAACTGAACTCCATTCATGACTGAATCCCCAGCATGTCTCCCTAAATTCTGTTATCAAGCCCCCAAGAAGACGTCATTCACACGATGAGGAGGCTTACTGGACTCCAAACTCGCACAACCCTCAAACCAATTAACCACTTGGGTTGCCATTTTCCCTCGATAGGGACGAGAAGCCTATCCTGGTCTCATACATGTCCCTATCCTGAATACATGTGTGGTTCTCCCCCACTTAGATTCGACTAATTATTCACAATACATGAGATTTGAAGGATTCACGATCCGTCTTACACTTTAATAAGCAACTGCTGACAACCTGTTTCTTGTCCGTAGGAGTGCTTTATTTCCGGCCCAAATCCCCAAGGACCACACACTCCTAAAAATCCGAAAAACACTTCCCAAATCCTAGCGAGACTAATAATCTCAGATGCCTTGAAATGATGCCACACTCATATCTTAAAGTCCAAGTAATAGATGTCCAGACCAAAACCTCAACAGTAAACCACTTCCCATGGCGCTTTTAAAAGCCTAATTGAGCATAATAGGCAATTCCCCAATATTATCTGTAGGCCTTCCACATCATGTCCCTGAACCGATCTCGACCTTAGACCCAAATAAAATTGAACACTCCAAACCAGTAAAGAGGGGGAACAACTTTTCACTAACCGCCATATAACCCACGGTATGCAAAAGGCATATGACCAATGTTTAAATGCATAGTCTAAACACAAACAGGGAAACATACCTAGAGATACACTTCCTGCAAGTATTGCACTAAAAGTGGCTCTGATGGCCTCTTACAACATATTCGAACCCTTGGGTGCTTTTCCGGGACCCTCCAATGTATGCACCCGATCTGATCCCCTCTTCCCAATGTGCTCCAAATCAATCCCTACTCTCGAGCTCTAGAAATCATATCATTCAGGGTCTCACACCCTGACCCACTCACTAGCTTAATCGTCAAATGCTTAACCACGATAGTTGGAACAACCCCTGCTCTACATCGGGCTACTAACTATCCCCAAGAGCTAGTCTCCCAATGCCAAAAGTGAAATAGATCGCATAATCAATCCTTGCCGCCTGATACAAGAGATCCAAGGTGAACTCAAAATTCTGGCAGTCCTTCCACTATCTGGCTCCCTACCAGGGTCGGGACCAAACCTTGGTCCTTCTCCTTGCGTGCTCAACCACATTCTGCATAGCAGTTATTCCGATGTTCCAATCATAATCAAGGATTCTCCTTTCCAAGCTTCTTAGATTCTCCAAGACTCTCACTGATTCGAGTATGGATCCTATGCTTTCAGTAGTACAGGCCCATACTACCTTCCACACCTATCCATATCTTCCTTAGCATACCACCTTCCGCACCTACCCTCACTCCGAAGGATGCTTCAGTCGTCGGCATGAAATGGGTGTTTCGAAACAAGTTAGATAAGGAATGAAATGTGATTCGGAACAAAGCACGTCTAGTTGTGAAAGGATATTGCCAAGAGGAAGGTGTAGACTACGAAGAGATGTTCATACCAGTTGTAAGACTTGAATCCATTCGGATCTTTCTTGCATATGCTGCTAACAAAAATTTTGAAGTCTTTCAAATGGATGTGAAGTGTGCATTTTTAAATGGTGAGCTCGAGGAAACGGTCTATGTGCAACAACCACCAGGTTTTTTAAATAAAAAATTTCCAAATCATTGTTACATTATGGATAAGGCGGTGTCTGGTTTGAAACAAGCACCTCGTGCATGGTATGAAACTCTAACTCGATTTTTGAAACAATCTAAATTTAAACAAGGTTCGGTTGACCCAACCTTCTTTCACGAGAAATATGGTGACCATCTAATGATTGTTAAAATTTATGCTAATGATATCTTTTTTGGAACCATTAATCCTAAATTAACAGCTGAATTTCAATATTGATGGAGACTAAATTCGAAATGAGCTCAATGGGTCCTATTAACTTTTTACTTTGTTTAAACATAAGACAGAGTTCAGAGGGCATTTTTATTAATCAAGAAGCCTACACGAAGAACTTGCTTGCGAAATTTGGAATGGTGGGTGATTCAAAGGTCAAGGTTCCAATGGCATTCGAAACAAAGCTTACTCCATCCTTGGACAAGCCAACAGCTGATAGAACTCTATAACAACAGATGATTGGATCTTTAATGTATCTAACATCGAGTTGTCTAGATATTATATTTGTTGTTTGATATTGTGCCAGGTTTCATGAGAATACTCGTGAACCACATATGATTGCTAAGAAAAACATCATTCGATACCTCGAGAGAACAACATATCTCGGAATTTGGGACACTTCCAACTCCAGTTTCTTTGTGCAAGCATACTCTGATGCTGATCTTGGTGGATGTAGTCTCGATCGTAAAAGCACTTCTGGGGGATGTCAGTTTGTAGTGGCAAACTTGTCAGTTGGCAATCAAAGAAGCAGGCATGTGTATCCCTATCTACTGTGGAACCAGAATACATCGTAGTTGCATTGTGCACTTCCTAAGTTGTATGGATTCATAATTAACTCAGGGATTATGGGATTAATATGAAGAGAATCCTACTGTGTTGTGATTTGAGAAGTGCAATAAGGATATTTCATAATCCAATATAACACTCAATGACTAAACCTATAGCACGACGATATCATTTTATAAAGGATCATGTACATGATGGAAACGTTGAAGTACACTTTCTTAGATTCTATCATCAACTACCTGATATATTAACTAAGGCTCTACTTGAAACGAAATTCAATCGAATTTTACAAGGGCTAGGAATGATTGAAGGGGACTCAGGTCCGAAATCTCCTTTGTAATAGGAAATTACTGTTCACGTTCTAAATGGTTCCGAGCTTCAGAATGGTTTGAAATTAATTTTCAAATTCCGATCCGTTCCAAGCTTTAGAATTGTTCGGAATTTGCTATTCATCAAAGGTTTCAGAATGGGTTGTATCCTTTGTACATTAAGTGTCTTTCGATAGATTCTGAGCTTCGTAATGGTTCGAAAGTTACTGTTCATTTATGTTTCTGAATTTACTTTTCTTCAATATTTTCTTTATTTTCTACTTTTCATTACTTTTTTAAAAAATCCAAAAATCACAAAAATAATATTTATCTTTACATTATGTTTTTCTTTTATTTTTCAGAAAGCCAAAACTCACAAAAATATATTTCTTTTATTATTTTTTATTTTTTTATGTGTGTTATTTTCATAATACGTTCTTGTCTCAAGTTCACATTCTTATTTCCTTTATTCAGAACGATGGAGCGGGTATAAATTCTGAATCTATGTATTAGCTAAGTGTCCCTAGAAGCATGTTGCTGCATGTTGTCTCAAGCCTTTGAGACTCTATGTTTGAAGCCTTAATGAAACTTTCCTATTGTTTCTTCCCAATCAAGCTGTATATTCACATAACTCATTGTGCTACCTTACTCTTCTGAAATTAAGTTAAGAGTTGACTGCTTGGTAATTCTTTTATAGAAATGTACACTTTTCTCTTCAAAACTATCTCCAACATTTTCCATCTATTTCGTATTCATAAAGATAACCCTTGAGATTCACAGTAATTACCACCACGGTTTATGGTTACACAAAATTTATGTTTATGATCTTCAAATCGTTATCACCACGATATGAGTGAAACCTAAAATCCAAAACCTACTTGTGAATTGATGGTGAACAATTAATATGTTCTAGATATTTTCACCAATGAATTAATGATTAAAACCTATATGGTTTGTACCTTTCTCAATTTGAAATATCATGTTTTTTTAGTGATCTTTATGAAAGTTCTCGTCCTAAGACTTTTCTTCCCAAAAGATCCATTTTTTATTTTTCTTGAGATTTTTAGAATTTCTTGTCACATAAAATAGATCCAAAGCTTACTTGTTCTTATGGTTACACTGGTTAGACAAGTACTTCTTCCTGACTTTCAGAATTATATTGAGATTCAGAATTTGGTTGAAGCTAAGCCACCCTTAGAGCCTACTCAAAAGAAGCATTCCACTATTTCTTAATAGATAGATGACTGTAATTCAATGGAAAACGATACAACCACTTCAGAGTCTCTCTTGACTCAAAAGGAAGAGATTGTTTCCAGGATCCATTTGCTTTTATGTCAATTTTTAGTTGACATCACAGAATCTCACAAATATTATTTGCTTTATTTATTTTTCCTTTGGCATACTCTTGCACAAAAATCTTGATGATTTTTTCCAACTCTGGTTCTAATTCATGTTGATAACTGTTATTCAGAAAACAAGTTATGATGTATTGGTGTTCATGGATGAGAAAGCCAAGGTTCTGTCAGTCAAGCTCCACTATACCAACAAACGTCTTGATGACTTGGAGTCTGAAAAAATAGTGTTCCGGAGTTGCATTTCAGAAATTAATCAATAATTGCAAAGGCTTTTGGAAACTTGTGACTCAATGCTTATTGTTTTAGTTCACCAATACCTCTCAGAAAAACATAAGCCTATATTTGCGATTCTCAATCAACTAAAGGGTGTTTTGGGTAGTGACACTATTCCAAAACATGGGGGAGATAATGAAAATAAAGAAGAAACCCACAAGGAAGAACCCAAACAAAAGAAAAAGATCGATGAGCATCAGGAACAAAAACCGAAGGTCGCCCAGAAGGGTAATGAAGTTTTTGGGTCAAAAGTTAAAGAAAAGAATTTTATTGATGATGATTATGAAGAACTCCCTGAAGGAGGAAAACTAGTTAGAAAGAAGAGAGACAAGGAACTTGATCATCTTTTAATTCTTCAGAGGGAGTTTGAAGAAAAGAGGTTGAAGCTAAAATAGATAAGGTTACTCTAAAAACTCACCAATTTCTTTTTCCACCATGGACTATTGAAAGGATTTAAAATGAAGCTATTGATGATCCAAGAGTTCACTCGTTGGAGCCTTTGGTATCCTTCGAACTGGGTAATACCGCTAACTCTCAGTTTGATTTTCCAGTCACACCGATTGTATTTCTATTCTGATGCTTTGACAAAATCAAGAGAGCTCCACAGTCAGACTATGACATTAATCATATGCTCTTTTCAATCTATCTCAAGTATGGAAAGCCGCAATTTCAAATCTAGAGCTTATAGAAGATGGTTGTTGTAAAGGTGTAACAGCCCGAAATCTCAAAGTATTGTTAAATCACATTTTGGGGTGTTTTAAAGGGGGGACTCGGCGAGTTGGAGCCTGACTCGCCGAGTAGGATCGCAGATTTGGTCGCGGGTTCGCAACTGGACTCGACGAGTCCAGATAGGGACTCGGCGAGTCTGCGCTGTTTAGCGTAAACCCTAGCCGTTCAGGTTTGGGGACGTATATATGGGATCATTGGCCGTCGTTGTTCCCTTTTAGCTGCTGAGAAGAACCCTAAATCGGTTGGGGGCATCTAGAGCAAGGATTGAAGGCTATTGGTGATTTTGAAGAAGTTATTGTTCAAGAAGGGGAAGGTTTTGGCTAAAGGAACAACAAGGGAATCATGTTCTGAGGCTTGGGGACACAGAGAGGGCATTATTCAGGTAACATTCCGGATTATATTCTGTTATGTGAATGTGTGCATGGATTAGGGTTTAAGGAACCCTTTTGTGATTAGATTAATGGTTACCCTTGTCCCCCAAACGATTGTAACCCTGTGTTGGGACCCTTGGAGGTCCAGAAGATCCCAGGTCTGTGCATTTCGGGAATTGGTGAAGGTTTTGGATTGAAATCCTTATGCCTTAGGTTAACATGGGAATTATGAGTCTTGGGGTGTAGCATGAGCACCTAAATGAAGGCCTTTTGTGATGGACCAGCTTAGGAGGACCAGACCTATGATTGGTCGGGACGATTCTGATCTTAGGAAGCAGTTTGATCGACTGCATGGCATGGACTCGCCGAGTCAGATGAGCAGACTCGGCGAGTAGCTTGAAGAATAGCTGGGACTCGTCGAGTTGTTCTTCAGACTCGGCGAGTGGAGTCGGGGTGGCCCCGCGATTCTTCCACGAGGAACTCGTCGAGTCAAGAGAGATACTCGACGAGTAGAAAGGGAACATCCAGGAATTTGTGAGGACGACTAGACTCGCCGAGTCGCCAGGGTACTCGCCGAGTCCAGTCGAGATGACCGTTGACCAGAGTTGACCTGTGTGTGTGATTTCTTAGGGTCAGTTAACGTGGAAGATAAACGTATTAATAAGAGATATATTGTTATAGTGAGCTTGTAGCTCGGCGGATCAGGTGCAAGTAATTCAGGGGTTACTAACTTCCAGCATCCACGAGGTGAGTCTTCTCACTATACTGTACCCGGAAGGGTTTGATTGTGTGACCGGAAGGTCGAATATGTTATGTGTTATGTATATATGCTATAAATGGAAAGTTAGTTGCTACGTGTGATATGCATGTTTATATGGGCCGGAAGGCAAAGTGTTATGTGACAGAAAGGTCAGGTATGATATATGATATATGTGCTTTATGTGTTAGAGTAAATGTATTATGTGCCGTATATGTTTTTGGGCCGGAAGGCAATATGTTATGGGCCGGAAGGCAATATGTTATGGGCCAGAAGGCAATATGTTATGGGCCGGAAGGCAATGTACTATGGGCCGGAAGGCAACACGTTATGGGCCGGAAGGCGATTATCTCATGGGCCGGAAGGCATTGTGTAGTGGACCGGAAGGTCAGGGCCTGGAAAGGCGTATGTACGTAAGGTGTATATTGGGGAACTCACTAAGCTTCGTGCTTACAGTGTTTTACGTATGTTGTTTCAGGTTCTTTCAGTAACGCGGGATGGCACCGGCTCGATTGTACACACCAAAGAAAGAGTTGTATTCTGGAGGATCCTGGTTTTCTACTAAGTGAAAATGGAACTATGTTTTTGTAATTCAAATGTGTATGAGATTTTAAACAAGTGATTTAATATTAATTTGATTAATTAAATGAAAATTTTGCCTTGAAAATCACGGTGTTACAAATTGGTATCAGAGCCTTGGTTTGAGGGATTCGGATGCGCCTTCGGGTAAATCTGGACTCAAACTGAGGAAATAAGAAAAAGTTTTCAAATAAATAGTTTTCTAAAAGTGGATAAGAGTTCAAAGAGAAAGCAAGAAAGAGCAGTGTGTACAATCAGCCAGAGCCAAACGGTGATTTCCCAAAATACCCTTACTTTTGTGTTATGAAATATCTATTATGCACTTTATGAGATATTATTGCATGCTAGAGACAGGCTAGGTATTTCATATCTTAGGACTAGAATGGCCTGATTTGTGATGCCTTAGCCTAGGATTTGTTGTCATATGTGCGTTATGCTTTTGAATATGTGATGAGCGAGAATATCCAGTTAGGACGCACGAGGGGTAGAGCTACAGAGTTCAGTGGTACTTCCGAGATGAGCCGAGAAGGTGGAGCTATCACAGATAGGGAGTCCTATGTATTCTTCGATGCTCGAATGCTGCTTGCTTTGTGCTTTGTGGAATTCTCGATGATGGGAGTCAGCTACTACGTGAGTATGACGATACTCAGGAGGTAGATGGTTGGCATCATTAGGAGCTCTTCAGCAGCTGATAGCAAAGAAGTGGGAGGACGGCGGAAGGGACTAGGGAGTAAACCTAGCCAGATGAGTGCGCTGGTAGAGTAGAGGATTTCGCTGGGGAGCGAGTACGCACGATGGATTGGTAAAAGAGGAGGTCGATCAGCTACTTAGGAACTCTGGGATGGTCCGTGTGGAAAGTATGGGTAGATGTGGAAGGTAGTATGGGCCCGTACTACTGAAAGCAGAGGACCCATACTTGATACAAGGAGCATTCTGAAGGTCCTAAGGAACGGAATGCGGAGTGATGTTATGGTCAGGGTACCATACATCGGAACAGATTGAGGATAGATGTTGTGGTTCGAGTACCATACATCGGAGCGGATTGCGGAGTGATGTTATGGTCAGGGTACCATACATCGGAACAGATTGAGGATAGATGATGTGGTTCGAGTACCATACATCGGAGCGGATTGCGGAGTGATGTTATGGTCAGGGTATCATACATCGGAACAGATTGAGGATAGATGTTATGGTTCGAGTACCATACATCGGAGCAGATTGAGGAGTAATGTTATGGTTCGGGTACCATACACCAGAACAGATTGAGAAGGGACGTCATGGGATGAGTACCAGGGTTCGTAGCGGATGATGCTTGTGACTATCTTGCTATCGGGTCATGATCGATGAGGTAGAGATCGGACGCTATGGGTTTTAGGCCTGTAGACCACGATTGAGTATGGGGAGGCGTTCCCGAGGGGAAAGGCGAGTGTCTATCAGAGTATTTTGGTAAGAAGTTAAAGACAGAGGAAAACTTCGGTGAGTCAAACAATCAGGCGATAAGGGAGAGGCCATCTTCTAGGAGGGTGGTGCCATTTATGTTCGTGAGCAATACAGGAGGGGCTTGATGTGTCAGTTGTGGATTTGGGAGTACACCCTGCAGGTAGTTATCGACAATGTTTTCCCTCAGGGTATCAGGTAGCAGGTGTGCCGCGAGGCAGTGATTTATCGTGAGCAGACAGTCAGTTGGGACTGAGGTAGTCGAAGACCACGCCACACCTAAGTGAGAATAGTAGGATGCGTTATAGTGGTAGCAGCGGGGAATTCAGCCAAGTTTTGCAGTGCAGAGAGTTTTCGTCTATGTTGAGAGTGGGTCCCTGTCCTTGGGACAATTCCGGTGTTGGAGCATTGGTTGATGAGTTGAGGTGAGAGGAACGATGATTGCGGTGCAGTCTATGAGCCAGGGATGTTATTAAGCAGTTGAGATGCTTAGTGTTGGATTGGTATGAGATTTGGAACGATTAGAAGCAGTCGTGATGAGAAGTTCTTGAGGAGTTCATCAGAGGTTCGGAGTATAGGGGGTTGATTGACTTCTTAAGGGGGAATTATCGGGCGTTGCGTAACACTTTCCTGGAGCAGGTACGATTTCGCTGGTGAAAAGTAGTTGTGGGTTGGGTGTGTGCTAATTGGTGATGGTTCGAACCCTGAGTGGGGGAGAACCGGGGACAGTATGTAAGAAAGCAAAGATTTGTCAAGAGTGGTTATAAGTGAAGTATAGGGATATGCTGTAAGGAATCATGAGACCCGAGGTGTCGATGATCGAGGAAAAGGGTCAGAGTGAGTTAATGCGGGAAGTACTTGAGGAGGAGAACGAATGTATCTATGACAGGGGTTTGGTGTCGTTACAAGTAGATAGAGAATGTTTGGGTCGGTATGCGCATTCTTGGTTGGATTTTGAGCGTCGGAAGAAGGGTTTCGGAGAATTTTCAGCATATTTCGTAGCGTCAGCGTTTTCTCGTATTCCAATCGGGAAATTATATGCGTCGGAGTTGTAATGTGGGAAAATGTAGATCTATTTATGGGATTCCGAGGAGATGTATTATTGTATCTACATGATACTTGGGGCAGGAGATCAGTGGTCGTGGCAGGATCTTGTGATGTTCGGTTGAGGTATTCTGAGATATCCAGGTATGATATCTTTATTTCGAAGTAACTCATGAATCCTGAATTGAATCGACGTGTGGCATATCAAGTATCTGTGGATCTAGTGGGAGCCCTTCGGGTATGGGTATCCAGGGAGATTATTTGAGGGAGTGGATATTCGCAGAGATGGGCATTTGTTATGTTGATTGTCTCCATAGTCTGTGGTGGATATTCGAGTCGCAGTACTCACTATTCAGAAGATGTTGTGATACCGCGTGGAGTCGCAGTACTCATTAAATGGCAAGAGAATACGATGTTGGAATGTTTTCCGAGCAATTTATGGTGTGGAAGAGTTTTGGGTTTGAGTAGTTCTATTATT